CCAATACTACTTGATGTCTGGGGTCGCCCCAACCCCAGACTTCAGAATGTTCAGTGCTTTCGTAGCCAGCACTCCTCCCAGCTAGACGTTAGCGTGTACTGAGAGAGGTGGTGGCTTTAAGCCAATATTCCAGCACCTCCCACTTACCTTTGTGTTGCACTTCTTGTTATTTTGCCTTAACGTAACTTTTCATTGTGTCATTTAAGTATTCTTATTATTTTGATTCATTGATTTTATTATAAGAATTTGTTTGTGCATTATTTTCATGTTTTGATTTATTTAACGTAATTAAAATTTCATTGTTAAAGTTTACTTGTGTTTTGTGTGTCTTCTCCTTACCTTACCACAGACGAAGTTCCAGTTTTTCTATTTTTTTTTTATAACTATGTGACGAGGCCATACCCCTAGCCTTAAACAGCCGAACACCAACGCGTTACCGTCACACAATACTTTCACTATTACACTTGTCAATGATACAGCTCTATAATTGAGGGGGTCTTCCCTGCTTCCACTTTTGTAGATTGGAACTATGTTAGCCTGTTTCCACACGTCTGCTACAATTCCTGTACACAGGGATGCCTGAAAAATCAGGTGAAGTGGAATGCTGAGCTCAGATGCACATTCTCTCAGAACCCATGGTGAAACTCCATCTGGGCCAGCTGCTTTGTTCTTACTGAGCTCCTTTAGCATATTTTCCACTTCATCTCTAGACATCTCTATCCACTCTATGTTGTTCTGTGGAATTCTTATTGTATCTGGTTCTCTGAAGATTTCATTTTGTACAAACACACTTTGGAACTTTTCATTCAGTGTTTCACACATTTCCTTTTCATTTTTCGTGAATCTGCTTCCCATTTTCAACCTCTGGATATTATCCTTTACCTGCAATTTGTTGTTTATGAATTTGTAGAATAGGCCCGGTTCTGTTTTACATTTATCCGCTATCCCTTTTTCAAAATTTCTTTCTGCCTCTCTCCTTACTGCCGTATAGTTATTTCTCACATCTTTGTATCGCTGGTATGTTTGGGGGTTTGGCCTCTTCCTATACTGATTCCATTTTTGTGTCTTTTGGTCTCTGGCCCTCTCACAATTTCTGATGAACCAATCCTGTTTTCTGGCCCTGCATCTCTGTTTTGGTATGAATGTTTTTATGCCTTCCTCGTATATTTTTAAAAATTTGGCATACATTTCATTTACTTCCTTGCCTAGGAACAAGTCTGTCCAATTACACTCATTAAAAAAATTTTGAAGTTCCCCATAGTGACCTCTCCTTAAATCGAGTTTATCAACTGTTTCAATGTCCCCATTTTCTTCTAGATGATATCTTAAAGCATAATCAATGTCCAACAGGACCTGATCACTCTTTCCCAAGGGAGGAAGGGACTGAATGTCAAATATCTCTTCTTCTTTCCTGGTGAATACTAGATCCAGTACTGACGGTTCATCTCCTTCCCTCATTCTTGTGGCCTGCTTTATGTGTTGATACAAGAATGTCTCCAGAATGAGGTTCACAAATCTGCATGTCCAAAAGTCCTCCATTCTTGCTTCATAGGCCTCCCAGTCTATTGCTTTAAAGTTGAAGTCCCCCAGTATCAACAGTCTTGATTTATCCTTATCTGCTTGTACAGTAATATCTCTCATGACCATTATGAGGCCCTCTCGTTTGTCATCCAGTTCTTCCTTTGTCCATGTGTTGCTTGCTGGTGGGCTGTAGGCATTTAAAATTATCAGCTTATCATCCTGATTCCAGATCTACAATGCCATTATGTCAATATGTGTGTGTGTGAGGGGGGGGGGAGAAGGATGAGGATGGGTGAGTTGATTTTAGTTGGACATCATTCTGCTGTAAGCGTTTGTAGAGCTGGGCTGGGTCACAGTTCAATTGTCAAGGCCTCAATGGTGCGACTTGGCTACAAGAGAACTTGTAGCCGACTGACTGTAGGTGGGTCTGGCAGCTCAGCAGCCGGCTGGCTGTGATTGGCTGGTTGGAGCAACAATCGTGAGTGAGGGGGGTGGAGCCTACACGTGGATGTTGCTGGAGGTGAGGCGGGAGCTCCTGGGAGCACGTCTGCTCTCGACGGCTGCTGGCTGGTGAGTCCGGTTCATCCAATTCATATGCATATCCCATTTTATCACTCCCCTTGCCATATCTGTTGACCTAAAACCTATTTCCTTACATGAATTCTTTAGTCTTCTCGCAAAATTTGTAGGCTAAATGTTGCCTAGCTTCACTTACTCCATCTGTTACTACTGAATCTATTTGCCACGTATTGCTCCATGCACTAGTATTGTCTAAGTTATTTTGGTGAATATGATAATTGTCTAGGCTATTTATTCTGCCCAGAAGCTTAGCATCATTTTCAAACATGTTCACATAAATCTATATCTGTTCAGGCAGCTCATTTACATATATAGTACAGTACAATGGACATTAATGGCAGTAGTACTGAGCCTTGTAAGACTACACTAGTGACATTCCTCAACTACAATTAATTTCCTCTTAAAAAAAAAACCAAGGGTTGTATGTAATGAAACACCAATTTTGATGGGAGCCCAAGTTGGCTCCCTAAAGCTACTATACTGATATAGTGCCAAACTACTAAGTGCCATCAGTTGCAGAGTTCTTTTAGGCCTACCAGGGACAGTAAGCCAAAACCTGGCCACCCCTCTAGAGGTATGCAGGGAGCGGTGGAAGTTATGATAAAAATTTCTCTTGAATTTATTCATGTCTGCCTCCAGCACGGAAGGCACCCAGAAAGTCAAAAAATAAGACAGACCACTGCTCCTGATAAGCGAGACTGAAGCCTCAGAACTGCCTAAAGAACTCCCCCAACAATGTAAACAAACAATACAAAATTTATGAAACTAGCAGTAGATCATTTGCCCCACCTTCCCCTTGGTTTGGGGGGGGGGGGGCAGGAGGGAGGCAGCCAGGGGTTAGCCAGCTGCTCCATCCTCAGTTCTATGATGATTTCAGCTTGCCCGAAACGCCATGCGTACTACTGGCTTTAGGTATTGTATGTACTAGCTCTATCTATAAATCAATCAGAATGTTTGTAACTCTGCATCTATGTATGTACTTTTCCTAAATAAAATATTATTATTATTATTATGATGGAAACACCTCCCAATGTCCTAGGAGGAGAGGGATGTCAGGGAGCCCAATGGAGCTCACCCAGAAATTGGTATTTCATTACATTCAATGCTGGTTTTCTGGGGGGGGGGAAGCCCTTGTGGCTCCTTAGAGCTATTACCCACAAAGAAGGGACAACTGGGCAACAACCAGGGAGGAGGAAGCACCGCAGGAAACAAAACACAATAAGACATATGATCACAAACGTGAATTGAAACTACACAATGTTGCCAGGGACTAAGCACAGATACAAGACACTGAGCTGCTAAAACGTAGGAGTTCAACTCCCAAAATACCTGTGCCCAAAAAGCCACCCAGAATCTATAAACAAGGACAGCCAAAGATCAGCACCCACGAACAAAAGGGTGCAAGAATAGACAGCAGGCTGGCCAAGCAGAATATCCCAGTGGACAACCTGAGAAACCTTGGAACAGGGGCCAATGTGACAATAATCCCCAAAGAGCACACCGAGGCAGAATTGACGGCACAACGGAAGCGGCAAAACTACCACTGAATGACATTACGCATCCCTGGCCCAAACTACCAAGCAGCCAAGACCAGGAGACCACTTTGGAAGCTAACCAACTCTAACTATTCTAGATAGCAAGAGCTGGCAGCAAGGAAACAAGCTGCCCAACAGTGACAAAGAAACAAATGCCGCGACAATGAAATATAACAAACCTGGCCCGAAGGGAACATCATAACCTCAGTAGAAGAAGGAAAGAACACAGCCAAGAGGCAAACAAGCTCAGGCAGCATAAGAGCAGGCTGGATGCGCACCAAACACTCCGCGAAGTGGAGCCGTGGTAGTATCGGCTCCCAGCACAAGCAGCAGCTGCTCCCCCAATGCAGAATGAAACAAAGCAACATGACTCTGCAGAAGACACTAACCATATTACAAAAATGCCTCCTGAATTTATGTAGTGATCCTCCTGAATTATCAACTAGGTGCACAGCCTCCTGGTGATGCACAGGTGTAATTAACAAGTGAATTGCTTCGTGACATGGTGATTTGTTCAGTTCTGTGTCTTTTTATCTCATTTTCTATGCTTTGTTTACCTTGCCCACTTGTCTAGCGGCCTTTTCTTGGTTAGAGAATCTATTATTCTGTGCTGATTTCACCTCTATAGAGTGGTGCCAAGTTTTGGCATCTGCTCTTTGGAAAGTTTAGAATGACTTGCAAGGGCCTGGCATGGATTGACTTGGGATGAGCTATCCAGTTACAGTATCTTATATCATAGAAGCTACATTAACCACTGCACTGTGCACCTGATTTTGGCAAAAACTTTTAATGCAATTGTCAAGGACATATTTTTTTTGTTTTTATAAATATTCAGGTAAAGTTAATGTCAAAATGTTTCCAAACTCAACTATTTCCATTTCAAAACACAAAGAGTAATGAAAACATTAAAAAAAAACATTAAAATATAGCTTAATTAAAAAAAAAAAAGAGATAGCACAACTCTCAGAGCGCCTAAAGGTGCTTTACACAGTGCAGTGGTTAAAAGCTTTCCCAGAAAGGAAATATAAGTTAAATATGCTATAAAAAATGTAAATTAAAATGATAAAATTTTTATTTTTTCTGAAATGAAATAATCAGAATCATAGACTCAATAACTTAAAAGTAGAGTCACTAGTTCTAATGAACATTTATGTAAACTTTACAAAAGGATTAGTCACTTCATTAAACCATGATTTTTATTATTTATGAACAAGCAACTGCTATGTGAAGTATACAAAGGATTTATCATAAATGTGAGCAAAATTAACAATTGCAAACTCATATGGATGGAAATTGCATACCAGTCAACCCTTTTTTCATACTATTTTTTGCATAGGCTTGAGATTATAACGTAAATATACTTACTTTATGAGAAACTGATAAAGTAATGGGTTGGCTCGGTGAAGGATGGGGTAGAGATAGGAGAGGTAGTAAGTGGTCTTCTCCATTGTGGGACGCATGAACTCACTCAGGTGGGTTACAGACAGCGATTCCACCAGTTCAAAGCCCACGTCCTCACCCATTACAAGTAGGAATGTAATTGCCACATCATGGAAACCCTACGAATGATGAACTATTTTAACCCTTAGACCGCGCAATACATACATATATGATTTGACATAAAATAATTTAATATAAGTTTTTAAAACTTGCACAAACACTTTCCAATTTTTTTTTGCATAATCATCTAGGCAAATGCTCTAACTTTGTCTAAATAATTACAGCATAACTTGAAAAACAAGAGAATCAAAATTAATTTTAAAATTGAATATTGAAAACTTCAGATTTTCAATTCAGAATAAAAAATACGAACTATCACCAATTGTTCATTTAATGTTATTCTTCTCTCAGAATTGCATATGATCTTCATTTTCATCAAATTAGAATATAGTTTTCAGTATAGTTAACTGTAAAAAAAAAAAATCGTCAATAGGGCATTTGAAATATGCAGCAAATTTAGAAAAAAAAAAATTAACTCCAAATGTATGAAGTTTGTGAAAAATTTATTCTGAAGGGATTGTAGAACAGACACCTAAGCACACAATATGTCAAAATAGTGAGAATCAGTCAAAAACTGGAATTTTAGAAGCCACTCAAAGTGGAAACTCTAGTTTCAGAGATACAGTAATTGAAGTTGAAGTTATCAACAATGAATAAAGGTACTGGAAGTTTTAATTCCTTAATTTAATTGTATTTTTTAATAAACACTGTTTAGCATTCATTCTCGAATATGTGAAAGTTGTAGGTCAATATGTGTTGAAATGAAGTCAAGAAAAAATTACCCCCAAAAAAACAGCATTGAATGTAATGAAACCCCATTTTCTGGGCAAGTCTCGGAGGCTCCCCGGAGCTATCCAGGCTGAATGGATATGTATAACTTTCTGGCATCAAAGTGCTTGGAGTTCTTGCCTACAGGGGAACATGAGCTAGAACCTGGTCCCCTCAGAGAGACATGAGGAACAATGGCCTATAGAAACCCCCCCATGTGGTTGCGAGCATTCTATGTCTGCCATCGACCAGGATAGGCACCCAGAAAGGTAGGCGCCCAAAAACAAACCCCTATTCTGGTGAAAATATTGCTATTGAAAGCCAAACGAGTGGACAGAACTCCCCAAAAAAATTGTCAAACTATCATGACATCGTCACGTTGTCATGCCACCGTCTGCGCAACCCTCCCCTCCCCAGGAGGGGGAAGGGGGAACCCCAGACCATCCGTGCCGGCAATCCAACCAGCAGTTCTTAGGCTGGATGTCAAAACACACGAATAACACCGCCGACTGGAGGGTGGGAGGGATGCCGGGGAGCCTCCAGGACTCACCCAGAAAATGGCGTTTCATTACATTCAACTTTGGTTTTCTTGGGGAAGCCCCGTCGGCTCCCCGGAGCTACCTCACCACAGATAAGGAAAAAGAAGGAAAGATCCGGGAGGTGGATGCCATGCGCCCTAACCTAAAAAACAAGACCACAGACAAAACTAAAAGACTCTGCAGACAACCCCACAGACCCGAACCCCAGAACAGGAAGGAGGGAATGAAGGGAACCTAGTCAAACCAAAACGTGTCCACAACCCCAGAGGCCAAGACGCGCAGGGAACAGCGAAGAACCGCAACCGAACAATAAAGGAAGCCCCCGACCTGAACAACCAAGCAGCAACCCAAGGACCAAAATGAGGAGAAGAAAGAAAATAGACCATCCGGGCCAACGACTAGGATGGCACCGGAAACGCAAGAGCAGGCCGGAGGTGAAACAACGCCCAAGACAGCAAGCGGAACGGAACAGAAGGAACAGCATCACCGAATGCAAGCTGGAGCGGCTCTGCCACCGCCACCCAAAATCTGGCGACAGTACACGGTACCACACGACGGACCTGGAACAACCCCGAAGGGAAAGATAAAACAACCCTATCAGAGACTGAAGGACCCTTCGCAGTGATAGGACAACCAGAAGAACTACACACCACCCCCGAGACAAAGCACGCAGGCGGGAGATCAACAATGAAGCCACCAGTGCCCACACAAGCGACGAGAAACTAAAAACATAACCCCGAGACACGAAGACTCAAGAGGAAGAACAAACTAGCCCTGAACAGGGTTGGACCGATCAGCAAAAAGAGGCGGAGCCGCAGGAAGACCCACAGAACCGGAACCGAGGAAAGCAGCAGGTCTTGTAAAGGCAGGCAAAAACCAGAAGGAATGGCCAATAGGGAAACCAGGAACCCATCCCCAGAGAGCCAAAAAGGAACCAACCCAGGCAAGCAGACATGCCCTGTCTGGGAGGAACTCCACCCCCCCCCCCCTCAGGACCCCTGAAGGATAAACAAGGCCAAACCCCGAGGGGCCAGGGCCCAGGCAGAGGTCAACAAGAAAAAGGAGCACCACGAATGAAAGCGCGAGATGCGAAGAAAAACAGTGCCCACGCAACCCAAAGGAGCAGCACAACCAGCTCCAGCAGGGAAAAACAAATGCATGCGTCTCCAAGGTATACAGGAGGGGAACTACGCATGACGTGAACCGCAGGAAAACAAAAACACACGTTCCGGAAAAGGAACAAAGAAAAACCGGAGCCAGGACCGGAATCCCAGCTACCCGTCCCAAGAACAGGAACCAGTAGGGCAGGAGCGGTGGACCAGAAGTCCACCACCCCGACAGACAGTGCAACACAGAAGCCTGCAGTGAGATACAAAGAAAAAATTAAGGAACTCGGCACCAAAACCGAATACTGGGGTAGTCCAAAAGCAGGGAACTGAACATGGACAGAGGCCCACCCCAGCACCCAACATCAGTATAGCCAATAAGCACCGACCCAGATACACAGCCATGTGTAACACAGGAGGAAAAAGCAGAAATAGGCAAGGAAAAAACCCGAATATGGACCAAGTAGCAGCCGGAACGCAATGTACATGACCAACCACAAAGTATGGAGTGGGAGGTTGCACAAACACAGAGGGACACCATGGATATCAGGGCGCAACCAGACACCGAAGATAGGCAAGGATGGAGTGTCCAGAGAACAGAGACCAAGCAAAAAAGGAGGGCACAAAAGCACGGACCGAGGGAACGATGGAGTGTCCAAAGAAAGGGAAAAGACCTAGGTGCCGAAAAACCAACAAAAAGCACCAAAATGCGGGGCAGTGCCCTCACAGTACAATAAAGAACAAGAAACACGGACAAAGTAAAGTCACAGAAAACACATGCAAGGTGTCCAGGCAAAACACACAACACCTAACAACCCTGTTAGGAGCCATCGACGCAACCCTGTCAAGCAGGGAAGTGACAGAGTAAACAAGGGGGGGTACACGCACAAGGGTACACAGGAGGAAGTCGAGTACCCAAACGAGCCACAGATATTAAAAAGAACCTGATCAATGTCAGAGGAGGTAGGAATGGAATGCACTAGGAAGTAATGTGGAGGCAGACTTCACACACATGCAATTGTAGAGAAGATAGAGCCCAGCAGGCTCAGGAAACTGCACACCCGTTGACCGACAGTTGAAAGGCGGGACCAAAGAGCCAGAGCTCAACCCCTGCAAGCACAACTAGGCAAGTACCCCACCAAAAGTCGAAAACCAGCACCTGGCCAACAGAGCCGCCAGACAATACAATCTCACCTGCAGAGTGGAGACACGACCGTGCCACAACACAGTCGAGCCGAGTAACATACCAGGAGCATCGCCAGTGGTTCGTCCTGACGATATGTGTATAAGAGGCTGTAGGGATTAGATGTACTGGTACCCAAACAAAAACGAGAATTCGAAGTGGAAATATGTACAAAAGTGCGTGCCCAGCATAAGACGAGGTGCAGTACAGAGGTGGAGGTGGCACCACACGGAGCCACCCCACCCCCAGAAGCAGTGAAAAATGAAGTGATGTCCACACATATAAAAATCCAGAACACCCCCAGCATCCAGAGGGCTATGACTGGAGAAAGAAGATGAGCGAGAAGTCGTAGAAAAACCACAATAAACGACGTGGAACACATGAGTACACCTCCCAGAAACGAAACTAACACCCCGGCCCCAGCGCTCGAGGTATGAACCGCACCACCCGTCTACCGGGCGGTGCGACTTGTACACCAGTCGGATACACACAGATCGTATATACACACATCGTACATACACCAGCAAGGCATACGTAACGAAGATGAGGAATGTCGAAACTGGAAGGAGAGACGATGTGAAAAAAAAATAAGGCGAAACAGAAGCGAAAGAAGACAAGGTGGACGGAAGGGGACCAACGAGTCCGAAAATGGACCAGAGGGAAACCTCACCGGAAGTCAACAGTCGTTCCAATAATACTGGAAGTTACGAAGAGGTCCGCAAACTAACGAGAACCACGACAAGCAAGCACAAATGCACGGAGGTACATATGGACAAAAAAGACACCTCTGAGCAAGGGACATGCAGGGGACCCCGTTACGAAGGGAACAGCATCGCGACGTAAGCGCGAAAAGGGGTAGGAAAAGGGGGTGAACCTCACCCCCAGGAATGATGGGACCGATGGACCCAAAGGGACACAGAACCGAACCCAGGGAGGGGTAGACCCAAAACCAACATGAACGCAGAGGGGAAAGGAAAACCCCACTCTGAGGAACTGCAAGCCCTGCACCGAGGGTATAAAGACCCAAGCGGGGCAAAACAGGGCCGAGGCCCCCCAGGCAACCCCTCCCCAACCCCGGGAACCTCAATGGCAGGACCCAGGGCCAAGCTGTACCCCCCAAAGCCCCAGCCTCTTAGGAAAAGCTGGGGCAGTCATGCAAAACTCTAAGGAAGGGAGCCCACTGGTCAGATCCATACAGCACGGCAGGAGGAACAGGCAGCGGAGGTAGAACCCAAGGTAACTTGTGGAAGATGGCCTCAAGCCCCAAGGGCAGTACTTACAGGGCACGTACGGAAGAGAGCCCTAGGCGCATGCAGCCCGAGTATTGTAGAATCTCACTCCTGGCTCACACCCCACCGGTAGAGACAGCCCACACCACAAGGCACAGAAATGAAACAAAACCGGAGCCAGAGGCACTCGACCAGCCAGTAAACCCATCAGCCAAGAACTGCCAGTTGGATCGCCGGCGCGGATGGTCTGGGGCTCCGCCTTCCCCCTCCCGGGGAGGGGAGGGTTGCGCAGACGGTGGCACAGCGACGTGATGACGTCATGATAGTTCGATAATTTTGTTTGGGGAGTTCTGTCCACTCGTTCGGCTTTCGGTAGCAATATTTTCACCAGAATAGGGGTTTATTTTGTGGCGCCTACCTTTCTGGGTGCCTATCCTGGTCGATGGCAGACATAGAATGCTTCCAACCACATGGGGGTTTCTATAGGCCATTGCTCCTCGTGCCTCTCTAAGGGGGCCAGGATTTGGTTCATTCTCCCCGGTAGGCAAGAACTCCAAGCACTTTGACTGATGCCAGAAAGTTATACATATCCATTTAGCCTGGATAGCTCCTAAGAGCCGACGGGGCTTCCCCAGGAAACACAAAATATAGGGATCATTATTATATTTATAATGATTTAGGAGATATATTTAGGGTATATTTTATATAAGTGAAAAAGCTCTAATATGGTCCCTAATAATCAAAACAACCTAAAGAGACAAAGAAAATAGAGTTTGAAATAAAAAAAAATCAGCCAAAAAAAAATTCAAAATCCCAAGTTATGCGAGTTGTGACTGATTTATTTGTTGACGAATTTCATTCTATCTTCACATAGTTAGGGAACCATATGCATTCTCCAGGATGTAAAGGTTACATCAAAATCACATAATAAATAAAGGAGAGAAAAAACTAAAATCTTAAAAAAAAATCCCCTAAAAAATATTTTTGGGACATTGATGAAAGTAACATATATTAACATTGGACAATGTATTTATGATATATAACAAAATAGAGCATATTAACATAGTTATTCATTATTATGTGTGCTATGTATTACTCAGCCATGATATAAAGGCACCAACTGCATATCCACTTTATGGACACTTCTTACTACTATTCTTCTTCTTTGTGGCATAGGACAGGTGCTTGCATCTCTTTATTACTGCATAATCCTTCAGTTCCAGTTATTAGGAGCTGTTTTCCTTATCAATAAAACGTTCTTATTTTGTAAAAATTTGTCTAAAATCAATTTCTGAAAATATTTTGATGAAAGTTTCACGACACTGAAGCCAATAAGTTTAAGATTTGTTTAACATTTTGAAGTTATTTTTTACACAATTCAAATATTTTTCACTACCAGGCCCCTATTATGCGAGGTACAGTAATATGCGTGGTCTATGGGTTAAAATATTATTATGTAAACAAAAGTTTTGGAACTAAAGACAGTAAAAAAATAATAAGATTAATTTACATCAAAACATCCTATCTTTTCTTAGTGCACAGTTTGAATAATGTTAAGAAATGCCCTTATCCATGAGGAATGAGATGAAAGTAATATTGCAGACGATGACGTTTTGGTCCGTCCTTGAGTCGAGTCGAGAGTAATATTCTTTTTTATCATTAAGTTATTTCATTTACTCAAGAAAAACATTCATATATTGCACTTGAAGAAAAACAATGTCTTGCCTGATAGTAATTCAATTCAGGATGCTTCATCAGGACCCTAATAATAAGCACTGTAAGCTGGTCCATCAAAATAATTCTATAGTCATCATCAATGCCAGGAGGAAAGCGCTTCAGAGATCTTTTAACATCAAGTACCACCTGATTGTAATCTTTATGAGCCTTGATAACATCAAGAGTGGGTTTTGGAGTCATTTCCATGTGCTCGATCATCATAAGGCAAGGCCATGCTTTACGACGGAGCTCATCTGCCAAAAAAGGTTCAAGATTAGAATGAGAAACTCCTAATAAAGTTCTAACTTTGCATTCAGCTCACCTATAGCAATAACCCTATAATACATAAGACAAAACAATCACAATAATATTTATACAGTATGTTGTTGAATATGACCAAAAGGGTAAGATTAATGATTCTAAACTAATCTTCTCCATATTTCTTACGTTTTTCTTCACTGTTGAGGAAGTAGAAAAATTAACTCTCCAAAGTTTATTTTCACACTAGTTATACTAGGTTAAAAATAAGTTAGGATAGGTTTGGATAGGTTAGGGAGGTTTGGATATGTTAGGTAGGTTAGGTTCAGATAGGTTAGGTTAGGTCAAATTTTATGTTTGCTTTTTTTGACTCAAATACTGTAACATAAAATTGTAATCATAATTAACACAATGAACACTATTATTTCATAAGAATTTTTGTTAGAAAATTCAATATTTCATGCAAATTTGGCTTATTAGGCAACTCTGGTTACTGTATTAGGTACGACATATATTACTAAGAACTCTAAATGACCTGACTCAAACTCATGCCACTCAGGATCACCCCTAAACATACACAGTACTATTACTGTACAACCTCACCAATGATCGTCTATAAGGATTGGTCAGTCCTGGTGCTTATTAACTAAGTTCCATGACTAAGCAACCCCCAACTACACTCATAGTTCAATTTGGGTATAGATTTTCATCAAATTCTGGCATATGCATGGGCTGCACTGAGTCTACAAATGTGAGAAAGGCTGCAGGAATCTCACATTTGTTCTTCAGGGAGAACAAACTCCACAGTACTGTACTAAGGGTCCAAGGTGTCACCGACCCAAGTGTTACCATGGCGGAGGCAGAAAGAATTAACATTGCCACATGGCATGGATGAAGAGCATACCTCAAACTCACAGGAAGTGAAAGCAGGTTTGAGGGGAATATCCACAGGACTACCAAATCTGCATGGGCTTTCCAGGGTTAAAGGGAATGAAAGCAGGAAACCTAGGCCCTGGGATCAGTTCACTGGACCTACAAGTAAGCTGACACAGCCTGGGCATCGGTCTCTTATTGAAGCCGCAGTGGTTTATTTTGATTCACTGACTTTCTGGTTGCCTTCCTCGGTGAGGTGACAAAAATAACTTAACATTAAGACCAAAATAACAGTTCATGAAATATGAACCAAAGAAACTACTAGACACGCACAAAATATTTACTCTGAATGTCTTACCTTTGACAAGACCCCCATCACCAATGGCAAGATCCCGAAGAGCTTCTAAATCTAGTGGAGTGGAAGACAAAACATCCTGAATCTGTTGTTGCTTTCTCAATCTATCCAAAGCAGCTTGACTCTTTTCTTTTGGCCTTTTCTTTCTCCTCTTAACTGCTTTCTATGTATAAAATAAAAAGATTAATTAGTACTGTACACTTTTAAGTCTCTAATACACTTACTTAACTAAGAAACACTAAAGGTTTGCTATGTGTATTCATCATCTCATTGTCCCATCTCCTACTTTCAGGTAAAGAGACTGTACCATACCTACACGAACAGGAAGTAATACCTTTAAAGAAATTACATAAACATATTTATAAATAAAAAGTGTGACAAATTTATTAGTATTACAGGAAATCAGTATCTAGTCACACTAGCAAATATCAGTCACTGAATGTAGTGAAATGCCATTTTCTAGGTTGCCTAAGTAGCTCCCTAGTACACTAGCCCTGGTTTCAGATATATCTACAATACTACTAGGCCTCTGGACTTGTGCAGGCCTACCAAGCATCAGGACCAGAATCTGCTGTTATCATAGAGGCGAAGGGAGCATGGGGAACCCATGTACCCAACCAGCACAGGTGAAACAAAAACTGGTCTAACTGGCTGGACTGTGCATATCATATACAGTAGGCATCCTTCAGTCTTGGGAGACTATGGAGTTGCGCTCTAGTTGCTCTCCAGGGCGCAAGGGCCTGGGTAGGCCGATATGGAGGAGAAGCTGTTATCCCATGCAGCAGGTCCCCCCTCTCCATGTTGGTAAAATTATCCAATGGAAAGGCAAATGCCAATACACATGGTTCCAGCACCGTCGAAGGAACTGCCAGAATGAGGTCAAAGTCGACAACGAATTCCTTAGGGGCTCCAACTCCGAATTTTTCCTTGAGGTTGACTCCTGAAGCCTTTCCCAAAAGAGGGGTATGACCACAAGGCAGCGGAGGTTTAGAATCAGGGTTTTCCTTCCCCTAGATGAGTTGCCTTCCCAGGCTAACAAGTCCCATCTACCCGGAATATTATATACTGTATACAGTATATGTTTTAAGAGTATTGCCTCTACCCTTCCTAATTTTCTGTAATATTTTCAAATTGAGTAGCCCCTCAGGAATCCCACCTCATATAAATATTATCTTTATTACATTAGTTTAAATATTATTAGTCTCTGTTAATACGTAAATATCTGGCATCTTATGCTATATTATATCATTTAGCTCCAATATATATCCTAGTATGAATCTATGAATTTATGTATGTAACAATTAATCAATGAATGTACAGTATTTATGTATAAATGGATGAATATCCATTTATACATAAATATAAATATCAATATGAAGTAAACTGCAAAAGAATATCATGAATATCAATATGAAGTAAACTGCAAAAGGCCTATTGGCCCATATATGACAGAGTATATATAAGTTGTAGAGGGCAGGAACAAGTTAAGTAAGGTGGTAATGAATGCCAAAACCATCAGTAGTTTCAAAGCATCATATGACAAAAAGTACTAGTAAAATAAGTCTTTAGGCATAGTATGTACTAGCTCTATCTAGAAATCCAACATTATGTTTGTAACATCTTGTATGTATGTACTGTATCTACTTTTACCTGAATAAACATTTATTTATTCATTTATTTATTTACTGTACTAATAATTACAATTCCCCTAGTTACAGAATGTGAGCTATGCTCGTGGTGTCTTATCTTACTACAGTAGTACTCTTTGTCATATGCTTTAAAACTACTGATGATTTTGGCATACACCACCCTCTCGATTAACTTGTTAAGCACGGTGGCAGTGAATGCAAAATTACTTAATTCTAATTAGGCAATTGTAACTACCTAATTACAATTAAGTAATTACATATAACCTTGCCCCCTCAAACACACACACATCACTGTGAATAAAAATGAGTTTTAAAATTGTTTACTAACTTCTGGTGTGCCTGAAGTTTCTTCGTCTGATGATGATGTCACTGCCTCCACTTTCTGTTCTCCCATAAATGTGTCTGCACAGCCAACAGGAAAATTGTCTCCCTCAATCTTTGGACTGGTATCATTTTCAACTGTTTTTAGTATCTCGGGTTCAGTAAATTGATCCATATCCACCTCATCTATTGTATCTACTGCTTCTTGTACGAGTAGAGGATTTACTTCGCTTGTCAGCTCATTTTTTATAATTTCACTTTTAACAATTGAATCTTCTAATTGGTTAGAAGATTCCTGTTCCATCTTTATTGATGCTCATTAATATTTATATAAATGTTAATTGCTAAACACCATTACTCTTGCAAAACATTAACATTTGACAAACATTATGTCTGGACTCAAGAGAATAAAGATGTTCATTGTGAAGTTTTTGACAGTTATAATGCTGATTCACAGTCCTGAAAGGGTGGAATTAAATAACTTAAATACAGCACTTAAATGAATGATATATTTAAAGATTAAGATATGGTAAAACATATATATTTACTTTCTTACTAAAGAGTATGTTATTCTTGTACTGGAGGAGGAGGTGGTGGTGCTGGAGGAAGAGTAGGAGAAGGTTGTTGTGGAGGATAAGGACGAGGATGAGGAGGAGGTGGTGGTGATGGAGGATGGGGTGGTGGAAGAGGAGGTGGTGGAGGTGGAGGACAAGGTGGTGGTGGTGGTGAAGGACGAGGTGGTGGTGGTGAAGGACGAGGTGGTGGTGGTGAAGGACGAGGTGGTGGTGGTGGTGGTGAAGGACGAGGTGGTGGTGGTGGTGGAGAAGGACGAGGTGGTGGTGGTGGTGGAGAAGGACGAGGTGGTGGTGGTGGAGAAGGACGAGGTGGTGGTGGTGGAGAAGGACGAGGTGGTGGTGGTGGAGAAGGACGTGGTGGTGGTGGTGGAGAAGGACGAGGTGGTGGTGGTGGTGGTGGTGAAGGACGAGGTGGTGGTGGTGGTGGTGAAGGACGAGGTGGTGGTGGTGGTGGAGAAGGACGAGGTGGTGGTGGTGGAGAAGGACGAGGTGGTGGTGGTGGAGAAGGACGAGGTGGTGGTGGTGGAGAAGGACGAGGTGGTGGTGGTGGAGAAGGACGAGGTGGTGGTGGTGGAGAAGGACGAGGTGGTGGTGGTGGAGAAGGACGAGGTGGTGGTGGTGGAGAAGGACGAGGTGGTGGTGGTGGAGAAGGACGAGGTGGTGGTGGTGGAGAAGGACGAGGTGGTGGTGGTGGAGAAGGACGAGGTGGTGGTGGTGGAGAAGGACGAGGTGGTGGTGGTGGAGAAGGACGAGGTGGTGGTGGTGGAGAAGGACGAGGTGGTGGTGGTGGAGAAGGACGTGGTGGTGGTGGTGGAGAAGGACGTGGTGGTGGTGGTGGAGAAGGACGAGGTGGTGGTGGTGGAGAAGGACGAGGTGGTGGTGGTGGTGGAGAAGGACGTGGTGGTGGTGGTGGAGAAGGACGTGGTGGTGGTGGTGGAGAAGGACGAGGTGGTGGTGGTGGAGAAGGACGAGGTGGTGGTGGTGGAGAAGGACGAGGTGGTGGTGGTGGTGAAGGATGAGGTGGTGGTGGTGAAGGACAAGGTGGTGGTGGTGGTGGTGGAGAAGGACGAGGTGGTGGTAGTGGTGAAGGATGAGGTGGTGGTGGTGAAGGACAAGGTGGTGGTGGTGGTGAAGGACAAGGTGGTGGTGGTGGTGAAGGACAAGGCAGTGGTGGAGGAGGAGGAGGAGGATGAGGTGGAGGAGGACGATGAGGAGGTGGTGGTGGAGGAGGTGGAGTAGGAGGAGTTGGAGGAAGAGTAGGAGGATGTGGTGGAGTTGGAGGAAGAGGAGGAGGATGTGGTGGAGTTGGAGGAATAGTAGGATGTGGTGGAGTTGGAGGAAGAGGAGGAGGAGGAGGGTGTTGTGGAGGATAAGGAGGAGGAGGTGGTGGTGTTGGTGGAGGATAAGGATAAGGAGGAGGTGGTGGTGGAGGATGAGGTGGTGGTGGAGGATGAGGTGGTGGTGGAGGAGGAGGACGATGAGGAGGTGGAGGAGGTGGTGGAGGAGGAGGAGGAGGAGGAGGAGGAGGAAGACGAAGAGGAGGAGTAGGAGGAAGACGAAGAGGAGGAGGAGGAGGAAGTGGAATTGGAAGTGTTGGAGGAAGTAGAAGTGGTGGTGGTGGAGGTAGACATGGTGAAAGTGGTGGAGGGCAGCAGTGGTGGTGGTTGCCTGTGGTGGTATGTGGTGTTTGAGGCAGACATAGACAATAACAAACTATAGTACTATACCATATATTTTACACATGACACTACAATTTTTATAAGAGTAGACAACATAAAGGACACAGCAAACCTCTAAACTGATATACTGTACAGTAAATCAGGTCTTCCTAAGTGCCACAGAAAACAACATGATATTCAATGAAGACACGTTCCAGATACTTTGCTATTGTAAAAGTAGAAATATCAAAATGAAAATCAAATATAAAAAGCAGTCAAATCACACTATGTACAGAAAAAAAAATAAAAGATTTGAGAGTAATTATATCTGAAGAACTTGCTTTAACAGAACACAATAAGTAACTATCACAACTGCAAGAAAAATATGCCTGTAACAAGACCCTTTTAAGAAAGAAATGCAATAACAATTATGATACTTTTTAAAACACTAGTGTTCTTTAGGGGTGGAATATTGTTGCACACTAACAGTCCCATAAAATGCTGCAGAAATTGCTGATCTGGAGAAGTGCAGAGATCTTTTACTACCTGTATTATACCCGAAGTGGCTTCTGGAAGTTCTAGATAACTTGGTCTGCCAAGTTGTTTTTGGAAATTACTAACCAACCTGGTTAATCCAGCACTTTTTAGGCAGGAACATGCCTATTTTCTTCTTGAACACATCCACTTTCTACTGACAATATTTCTTATGCTGTCTGATAGGATACTAAATAGCCGTAGACCTCTGATGTTAATACAGTGTTCTCTGATTGTGCCAATGGTATCTCTACTCTTCCCTGGAATAACAACATACTGGAGTGAAAGGTATGGAAGGAAATGCAGAACAGAACCAGCAAGGAGTAGAGATGCCACAGACACAATCAGAGAGCACTGACTGAACATCAGGGGTCCACAGCTGTTCAACACCCTCCCATCAAGCATTAGAAATATTGCCATAATGAAGGTGGATGTATTCAAGAGGCACTTGGACAGGTTCTTGCAAAATATGCCGGACCAACCAAGCAGGAGTGGATATGTGAGTCTGCGGGCTGCTCCAAGCAATAGCCTATTGGACCAAGTTATCACAAGTTGAGCCTGGCCTCAAGACGGGCTTGGGGAGAACAACTCCCGAAACCCTCTCCAGGTATGCTCCAGCTTTATGGGATCTATTCTGCATTTCCTGCCATATCATTCACTGTGGTGGTGGTGGTACTTGCCTATCAATACTTCCCTATCAGTGTCCATGGGGGGTAGGGTATGAGGTGTAGTCCTATGCATCTCAAACTAGCTTTGTTGTACCTATTACACTGCAATTTAACAATTCTGATACAGTATTCAAATTCTTTGTTGAATCTGACCATAAAGTTGTGGATGGCTGTAGCTTCCACAACTACTACTATCAGTGTATTCCATTTTGGCTCATTTGCATTTCCAGCTTTCAACTGTGTCCTTTTGTCCTCCTTTCTCTCAATTTGAAGAGTCTATCATTGTCCATCCTGTCTATTCCCTTAATACTGTACTGTGTATGTTGTGATCTTATCCATCCTGTTTCTTCTATTCTCTAAGGCTGAGAGATTTAGTTCCATTGCTCTATCCTCAAGGCATAATCTTCTTTGCTTCAGCACCAACCTTGTTGTAAACCTTTGTACTTTTAGAATTTTGTTTTTATGCTTCAAAGGGTGTGGATTCAATGTTAGTATGGCACATTTCAGTATTGGTTTAACAAATGTTGTGGTGGTATATGTGTTGGTGATAGTATGTGGTGGTAGTGGAGATAGTGTGTGGTGGTAGTGGAGATAGTGTGTGGTGGTAGTGGAGATAGTATGTGGTGGTAGTGGAGATAGTGTGTGGTGGCGGTGATAGTATGTAGTGGTGGTGGTGATAGTATGTAGTGGTGGTGGTGATAGTATGTAGTGGTGGTGGTGATAGTATGTAGTGGTGGTGGTGATAGTATGTAGTGGTGGTGGTGATAGTATGTAGTGGTGGTGGTGATAGTATGTAGTGGTGGTGATAGTATGTAGTGGTGGTGGTGATAGTATGTAGTGGTGGTGATAGTATGGGGTGGTGGTGGTGATAGTATGTGGTGGTAGCGATAGTATGTGGTTGTGGTGATAGTATGTGGTTGTGGTGATAGTATGTGGTGGTGGTGATAGTATGGGGTGGTGGTGGTGATAGTATGGGGTGGTGGTGGTGATAGTATGTGGTGGTGGTGATAGTATGTGGTGGTGGTGGTGATAGTATGTGGTGGTGGTGGTGATAGTATGTGGTGGTGGTGGTGATAGTATGTGGTGGTGGTGGTGATAGTATGTGGTGGTGGTGATAGTATGTGGTGGTGGTGATAGTATGTGGTGGTGATAGTATGGGGTGGTGGTGGTGATAGTATGGGGTGGTGATAGTATAGGGTGGTGGTGGTGGTGATAGTATGTGGTGGTGGTGATAGTATGTAGTGGTGGTGATAGTATGTAGTGGTGGTGATAGTATGTAGTGGTGGTGATAGTATGTAGTGGTGGTGATAGTATGTAGTGGTGGTGACAGTATGTGATGGTGGTGATAATATGTGGTGGTGGTGATAGTATGTGGTGGTGGTGATAGTGATAGTATGTGGTGGTGGTGATAGTATGTGGTGGTGGTGATAGTATGTGGTGGTGGTGATAGTATGTGGTGGTGGTGATAGTATGGGGTGGTAATGGTGGTGATAGTATGTGGTGAATACTATATTTATGTATCAAATGTACTATTACATAAATAATATTAATATGACCAACAAATTGTTTGGTCTGTAGGAAAGAAAATATATAGAGCCACTTTATTAGGGTTTGCTTCATATGCTCTAGTTTTGAACACTAAAGAGTACAGTACATGTAGCTCTCTAACATGTGAAACAGAAAATGATGACAAGATTTCTATTTCACAAATACAGTAATGGGAATATGACAATTATTCTTATTATTAATCTTACAGCATTCAGAGTTACAGATGCCCAAAATGTTATGCATGTTAGTGGTTTACAAGAATTAAAAACACCAATAATAATAATAATAATAATAATAATAATAATAATAATAATAATAATAATAATAATATAATTTATTCTAAAGAAGGTACAATGGGTTGGTGAGAATACATAAGACTGGTATTTTTACATTTATGCAAAGCCATTAACACGCATAGTGTTTCGGGCAGGTCCTTAATCAAACATATCAGGTAAGACGAAAAGGTACATTATAGCAAGATTTTATATAAACAAATAATAACAATATAAATTGACAGAGATGATTACACTGCTAAGGATACACGTTTTACGTGCTTTGTCTTGGGTTCGTATCCTGGCTGGGGAAGATTTATTGGACGTCATTCCTTAACTGAAGCCTCTGTCTACCCAACAGTAAAATGGGTACCTGGTTGTTAAACGATATGGCGGGTCGTATTCTGAGAACATTAGGATTAACGACTTGCCCGAAATGCTACACATACTAGTGGCTGTACAAGAATGTAAGAACTTGACAGATGTAATAGGACCCATTACCACCACACTAGAAATAAATATCTCTTTGATATCCCCAGGGTCAAACTTAATCTGTGTAAACACACTATGCTAATTAAGGGACCCAGTCTATGGAACTCACTCCCTAGTGAATTGAAAAGCTGTCAAACTTTTGTCTCATTTAAAAACAAAACAAAATATACCTAATTTCATCTTCGTAGTTTCCTACACTGAGCTTTAAATTTGCTCTGTACCTAGTGTTACCCAATCTCCCAACCTTTATGTACTTAACCCAAACAACTTTATCATTGTGTTCATTGCCGTCTTCTTTTATGTGCTAGCCATATGCTGTATTGTGCCTACAGTACTAATTTTTGTCAACTACCATTCAAGCTGTCATTGCAATCAATCTGAGCTACCTATGTGCTTTAATATACCTACAATTTTCTCTCATCTTTTATTTTTGTTTTTCTTGCTTTGTAACTTATCATTTTTTATAAATTTTGCAAGTATTTACCTACTTAAAATTTTCTTAGATTAAGGACCTGCCCGAAACGCTGAGCGTACTAGTGGCTTTACTAGACTGTAATTACTATACTATGTATCCTCACAATCCCAATGTACCTTCTTGTATATATATAAATAAATAAATAAATAAATAAATAAAAACTCTTGTATATTTAAATAAAAAAAAATAAAAAGTACTAATATTGGGGAAATGGGTAGTACAAGATACAGTGAGAATTGAAGCACAAGGTAGGAAACTATGAGGAAATATTATGTACTCTCACAAACCCAATGTATCTTGTAATAAATAAATAAATAAATTAATTCATTAATAATCCATGGAAGTGATCGGGGATTTGCAGTTCCCTTACCACTTTGTAGTCATACATACATGGAGCGAGGGCCATTTAATGAACACTCTTCCGTAACTATGTTAAGCCTGTGTGGGTATATCCACGCTAAAGACTCATCATGTGATACAAGAGGAGAGCGAGACACCACAACTCACCACAGCCTGTGATAACCACCAACACCGAAGGGCAACATCACACTGCATTCACAGCTACACCAAACGTCATTATTAGAAAATTATTAACTATAAAACGGATTTAAAATAATCCTAATGCATTTTAGAAGAATACATTATTATAATAATTCATTGTAAATGATATATATATATGTATATGATTTGTATATTGAAGAACTAGTAAATGTTACTGGAGACTCGAATCTGTATTTTGTGTTGCTGATGGTGACTTGTTCCTCAGCATCACCAGTAGAACTGTAGGTGACGTCATGGACATGGACGGACGGACGGACGGACGGACGGACGGACAGACAGACAGACAGACAAGCTGAAGGCATGGTCGAACAAATGGTTGTTAGAGTTTAACCCAAGCAAGTGTAATGTAATTTACATTACATCTACTTATAAGTTTTATTGAATAAATGAATAAATGTTTATTCAGATAAGGTACATACATACAAGAGATTTTACAAAAATGGATAGATTTATACATAGAGCTAGTACATACACTGCCTAAAGCCACTATTACGCAAAGCGTTTCGGGCAGGAAAAACATTAATTTATTTATTTATTTATTTATGCATATACAAGAATGTACATAAGGAATGTGAGCATACAAATATGGTAATTACAGTCTTGTAAAGCCACTAGCACGCGCAGCGTTTCGGGCAGGTCCTTAATCTAAGAAAATTTTAAGGAGGTAAATACTTGCAAAAATTATAGACAAAAAATGATAACAGATTACATGAAATGAAAAAAAGATGAGAGAAAATTGTGGGTACAGTATATTAAAGCACATAGGTAGCTAAGATTGATTGCAATGACAGCTTGAATGGTAGTTGACAAAAAAATTGGTAGGCACAATACAGCAGAAACAATATAAGATTGGTTGCAATGACAGCTTGAATGGTAGTTGACAAAAATTGGTAGTCACAATACAGCATATGGCTAGCACATTAAAGAAGACAGCAATGAACACAATGATAAGGTTGTTTGATATTACATAAAAATTAGGAGATTGGGTAACACTAGGTACAGAGCAAATTTAAAGCTCAGTGTAGGAAACTAAGAAGATGAAATTAGGTACTTTTTGGTTTTGCTTTTAAATAAGGCAAAAGTTTTACAGTTTTTCAATTCACTAGGGAGTGAGTTCCATAGACTAGGTCCCTTAATTTGCATAGAGTGTTTACACAGATTAAGTTTGACCCTGGGGATATCAAAGAGATATTTATTTCTGGTGTGGTGATAATGGGTCCTATTACATCTGTCCAGGGAGAGTTTCAGAGCATGGTTTGCATTTAAGAACAGGGTTTTGTAAATGTAGTTGACACAAGAGAATGTGTGGAGGGAGTTAATATTTAGCAAGTTTAGGGATTTAAACAAGGGAGCTGAGTGTTGTCTGAAAGCAGAGTTAGTTATTATTCTGATCTGATCTGATTATTATTCTTATTCTGAAATCTTCTGAATCTGAATCTGATAGCAGATTTTTGCTGTGTGATGATGGGCTTAAGGTGGTTTGCAGTGGTAGACCCCCATGCACAGATACCATAATTAAGATAGGGGTAGATTAGTGCATAATATAGTGAGAGGAGAGCAGAGTTAGGAACATAATATCTGATGACTAAAATGACTAAAACTTAATACTAATTGAGTATAAAGAATAAAATGTGTTGAGAACAAATAAAAATAAAAATAAAAAAGGGGGGAACATTGCTGAAAAAGCAGCACAAATACAATTAGGTCGACAAACAGCGTTGTTTAAAAAAAACAGACATGGGTTGACAATTGAGGGGTAAGGTAGGTTACAGGGAATTTATTACGTAGTGCTTCGTTTTTATCTTAAACTGGTTGAGAGAGGTACAGTCTTTAATATGATTGGGAAGGTCATTCCACATTCTGGGTCCCTTGATTTGTAGAGCATTTCTAGTTTGATTAAGTCGTACTCTTGGAATATCAAAACTGTATTTGTTTCTGGTGGGGTGCTCATGGGTTCTGTTACAACCTTCAATGAAGCTTTTGAGTTCAGGATTGGCATTACAGTTCAGCGTTTTATATATGTATAATACACATGAGAGAATGTGTAGTGACTTAATATCTAACATATTCAGAGATTTGAGTAGGGGTACCGAGTGATGTCTGGGGCCAGAGTTGGATATTGTCCTAATAGCAGCTTTGTGTTGAGTAATTAGAGGACGTAAACGATTTTGGGTAGTAGAACCCCAAGCACAAATATCATAATTGAGATATGGATAGATGAGGGAGTAATAGAGAGTCACCAGGGCAGGGCGAGGTACATAATATCTGATCTTAGAAAGAATGCCAACAGTTTTTGAATGTTTTTTTTATATATTTAGAATGTGTCCCTGGAAACTCAGCTTCTGGTCAATGAGAACGCCAAGGAATTTGCCATCTATTTTGTTACAAATTTGGGTATTGTATATTCTGAGATTTATTTGATTAGAGGATTTATTGCCAAACAGAATATAGAAAGTTTTGTCAATGTTAAGGGTGAGTTTGTTGGCAGTTAGCCAAAGATGGACTTTTATTTAGCTCAGTATTTACTGTGGCATTTAGAGCAAGGGGGTCAGGACTGGAGTAAATGAAGGTTGTGTCGTCAGCAAATAGAATTGGTTTGAGGTGTTGGGAGGCATTTGGAAGGTCATTAATGTAGATGAGAAAGAGGAGAGGGCCAAGTATGCTGCCCTGAGGAACACCAATGTTGATGGGTTGAAGACTACCTCACAGGAAGGAAAGCCAAGGTTTGCTTCAATGGAGCAGTCTCCAGAACAATGAATATGGAACTCGGGACCCCCCAATGCGGAGTCTTAAGCCCTACACTATTCAATGTACTTATGAACGCCATTGCAAATATTGATTTTCCGGAAGGAACACAACAAGTGGGATATGCAGATGATGTCCTAATACAAGCTCCCACCTTGGGAAAAATTGAACAGTCCATTGAACTCCTTGGAAGGAAATGTATTGAGCTCGGTTTCACTCTCTCCACAAACAAGACGGATGCATACTCCCATCACAAGCGGAGAGCAAATGAAGAACTGCAAATTAATGGTGTAACACTTGAATGGGTTGACCACTATCGGTACCTTGGCGTCACTGTCGGCTCTAACAAGGGAAAGAAAGAGGAGCTCAATCAACTCATAGGAACATGTAAAAGTCGACTCAGGGCACTGAAAGCTATGACCTGGAATGGACATGGAGCCTCTATTGCCGTGCTTAAAATGATGTACACAGCCTATGTGCGCTCCGTCATAGACTATGCCGCACCAGTTCTGTGCACCTACTCCCAAAGCGATATGAAAAGGCTTGAAAGCATTCAAAATGAAGCCATGACAATCATTCTTGGAGTTCCAAGAACTGCCAAAACGTCTAATCTACGAGAGGAGTTGTCCCTTCCCAGTGTTAAAAGCAGAATTCAGGAGCTGAATGCTAAGCTTGCAGTTAGGATAGCCAGAGATCCCCATTACAATGATATTGCCAAGAAAAAAACTGAGCTCTCTGCTACTTTCAGGGGGAAACAGGAGAAGCAAAAAATGGCATCACAGAGCAGTCTGCTACCTTGAAGAGCTTCACCTGCTTGAGCAAGCCCGTGAGCTCCTGCCTGTAGAGAGGTTACCTCCCTGGGAGGATGACTCATGCAGGATCATCATCAATGAAATGGCAATGAAAAAATCCAACATGATACCACAAGAAATGAGGCACAAGTATCTCGAGGAAATTTATAAAGAAGCCGGAGATGAACTAGACCAAATCTACACTGACGGGTCATCTAATCCTATCAATGGCAGGGCTGGTGCAGCATACACGGTAATCAAGGATAATACTTTCCAACGCAGAAATGAAGAAAAAGCACGTATTGAGAACTATGCCTCTTCAACGCAAGCAGAGCTAACTGCCATTGTTATGGCGTTAAGGTTTCTTGAACGGAACACTAATGGTGCAGTGATTTGCATCGATTCAAAAGCAGCACTGCAAAGCCTAAGTAAAAATCAGGCAGAAAATCTTGCAATAGTCGCTGAAATTAAGAGAGCTGTGAGAGTACTTACCAATCAGGGAAGAGTCATCAAGTTTCTGTGGATGCCCTCCCATGTTGGAATATGTGGGAATGAACGAGCAGATGTGCTGGCTGCTGAAGGCGCTGAAGGAGACCATATTGAATACTTCATACCCAAGACTCAACTACAAATTAGAGGTATTTTCAGGCAACATCACCGTGACAAGGTAACTGAGGAAAGGAGGATAGAAGCACAAACCAGTGAATCTGTACGATGGTACAACAGGGTTGCAGCTGGCAATCCCAATCATTATGGCCGAAGAGGAGGACGGCGAGGGAGAGAATCAGTAATAGCGAGAATCCGTCTTGGATACAAATATCCATGGAGATTTGGAATGGAAACAACAGTTGATCAGCGAAGTTGCAGAATCTGTGGTGAGAGTGATGGACACCGCCTTGACCACTATCTACGTGAATGTGAACACCTGAGAGACATTAGGAATGTGTGTAGAATAATAAACCCCACATTGTTTGAGTTAGGAAAACACTATTTGTCAAATATTGATACTGTTCTTAAAAGATTTCCCCATTTTGCACCCGCAAGATAACGTAAGCTTTTAAGGGTTGATAAATGTTAATCTTCTTGTTTGAGGAGCTGTTCACTTGAGACAGTTAAGCAAGTCCCAGCTGTGTCTGGGTACAAGTGACAGGATGAACAACCCAGCGGGTTTTCTTCCTATTGGGGAGTGTTGTACATTCTGCTATGGCGGTATGTTCACTCACAAGATGAGTGGCGCTGCCCAATAAACTCGCCCCTCGGGGCAAAATTTAAAAAAAAATTATAGACTGCTCCCACAGTCAGGACAGACTCAGCACCCTTGACTCTGAAACTGGCGAAGATATACTCCCCACAGTAGTCTCTAGTTCTAATTACTTTCAAGCGAGAAGGGCTATTCAATAAATTCAATTTTAATAATAAGAGGGTAGACTGGGAGAAAATAAACAGGGAACTTACAAACATTCAATGGAAAAATGTTCTAAGAA